TCATTCTTATTTTGGAAAGGAATTTTTAACACCCGCCAATACTTCATCGTACTCCGTGAATCAAAACATTTATACCTTCAACTTTGTAAACTGAAAATCGATTGCAAAATTCGATGTCTTAAGTTAAGCACTGTTCATATGCAAGACTTACCTGTAATATAATTCTAAGTTATATTAAAGAAACGGTAATATTATATTAAAAACAGGCTCGGTAAACAAACTTGTTGTCCTCTTTCCAAGAACTAGCCGCATGAAAAATAGTTTTAGTTATAGCGGCGCAACCCTTTGGAATAGCTTACCCTGTAACATTAAAGAGTCTGGTTTATTAAACCAATTTAAACACCTTCTCTATCATAATTCTTAAACACAGCATTCATGGAAATCAGGTTTTTAAGTGGCCCATTGTTGTAAGTTAATATAATGTTAGGATTAGGATTTTTAGGTTCTTAGGATATTAGTCATTGTATTGGAATTTTTTGTACCTGACGAATGTTTTTTACCGCGTATAAATAATGATTAAATAAATAAATAAAGTTGACGAGAAAAAAAAAGGGAATGAACTAAGTGACCTTAATGACGACGAAAAACGTTTTAACCTTGACGAGAGCCAATTCAAAGATAACACAATGAAAAAGCATGTTAACAATGTTATATATTATTCTTTTGTGCCTCTGTGTATTCACGTGCTCGTCTGTATTTTAACCCCTGTTTATTAGTCCTCTTGTCCAAGTAAATTTGCTGAAAATTGTTATTAGGCTACACCATCTAAATCTATATTGAAGAAAATAAGCACCCGAGCACCATTTGTTAGAATTGAAGATCTGTACATAAAAACCCGCGCGGAATCTAAACGCTCGTAATTTAATTATTTCCCTATAAAAAAATTCAAATCACAGAAAAAAGTGATCAACATTTAATAACAACAAAATCTAGAGGATATGTGTTAACAAATACACAAATCATTAACTGGTCTTATGTACTGGTAACTTCTATTTTTTATCTTCCATTGTGAAACGACGTTCATTTGCAAGGATTTAGCATATGGCGCAGAGACTCTCATCTTCATCTTTATCGCTCTCTTAATTCGTACAAATCCTTAGGATATATCTCGTGCGGCCGTCAAAAATTGACAGATTGAAAATTTAAATGAAATTGAGAGCGCTTGAGTCGTGAAATTCAATGTCCCTTTTAAATATTTGCCTTTCGAAATCGCGAAAATAAAACCCCGTCAAATATTATCTCCTCAGAATCGCAAAATTAAGCACCCGCGAAATTTTAATAAAATTTAAAATCACTAAGTTAAAAGTACCTGCTAAATAAATGAATGATTGAGAATCGTCAATTTTCTTTTTTTATTTGCGTGAAGACTTTGGGAGACCGTGGAAGATGTCACTGAAATATTCACATATTTTGTTGCACTTCCTCTCCTAACGAAGAACTTGACACAGAATTCAGTTATTAGTTTGCCCAACTTTCTCATTTTTGATCAGCTTAACAGGACATTTCATATCGAAATCAGGCTTGTTGACAATTGACTCATCAATAAAAAATTCATTTAAATGTACGCATGCGCCTATGTTTGTGTTCAGCGGAACGCAAGGAAAGTGAACGAGAAACTTTAGAGGGAACTGTTTGTCTCAGCTGGTTATTTTGCTCCTAGTTTGACTGGTGTCAAGGCTCTCTGAGTTGTTCTTTACTCCTTACTCATTAGAAATATTAGTAAATTGCTAATCTTTCCCAAAATGCCACAGTGTTATCTGCAAAACAGGACCGTCTCAGTCAT